ATGTATGTGCAAATTACACTTATTCAGTTTGTTATTAGATCAATTCGACAACCCGTTTTATTCAGCATTGTACACTGCTATACAGCATTTATTCAATATATATGCTTATTTGTGACTCTGAACTGTTAGTTGGGTTAAACCTCTAGTGCCTTTGATGGGATAAATTCAAAGAATTGGGCCGAAGCAGTAGATATGTTGTTCAAACATTTTGCCAATGGTGGGAAAGATGCACCATTTAAAGGGTGGAACGACCAAAAATTGGTCGACTAAAATGGTAAATTTTAATGGTGCACCTAAAAAACTTGACCACCCCTCATTTCGTAGGTGTGTGCGTAAGGAATGTTGCCTCTATTTTGTTATTGAAAGCGTAACAACCAGATGCATCATAGAGTTGAAAGTTGGAAATACGCCATGAAAGAAGAAACGTTTTTGATGATTTGAAGTGATATTTTCTTTTACTTTTTCGTGTTTATCGAGTAGTTTGTAAACTGTTCTCGAAAATTTCATTGTGGAGTTTTTTTTTTATTTATTCAAAGGGGGATGTTTCTCAAAGTCTTAAACTATGTTAATCATCGATAGAGTTTCCACTTGCTGCAATTACGGCCTCCACACGCTTCCGGAATGCACGGCAGGTTCTAATAATGTAGTCTGGATCCATTTCTCTCCAGGTACGGGTCAATGTTTGTCTGAGGCTTGCTGTACTCGGGTGGCGTTTAGAACAGGCCTTGACCTTCATGACGCGCCATATTGAGTAATCCAGCGGATTAAGATCGGGGTTGGATGGCGGCCACATATCCTTCGCCCAGAACGGAAGATGTTCCTGCAACCACATCTGAGTACGGTTCGAGTTGTGGCACGGAGCCCCATCTTGTTGAAATACAACATTTGGCTTCGGACTGTACTGTTCTTTGATCCACGGAAGAACATACTTACTTAAAATCCCGATGTAGACCTCCGTGTCGCCTTCTGGAATGGGTCCATTATTTTTGCCATCGGAAGCCACCAATCCAAACACCATAACACCAGATACACGTTCTTGTGCTCGTCGGCCACGTATTTTACCGGAAGAGAACTAATATACCGGTCGGTTCTGAAATTTGATACGGGATCGACGGTAAACATGCTCTCGTCGGTGAACAGGACTACCGGATTTTTTCGCTTAAGGAAGTTCAAGATTTTCTTGCATCGTTCGAATCGTAGCTCCCGGATGCGGTTGGTAATCATGTGAGTTTTTTCCCGTGCCCTCGACTTCGCCCCGCAATCTTCCTTTACGATCTTCCGTGCCGTAAAGTCACTGATCCCGTGTTCCTTTGCCGTTTTCCTTATTGAACGCACTGGATTCACCCGAATCTTCCTTTTGCTAGCAGCGGACCTCGGACGACCTGTGGCCACCTTCACGGATAGTTGTGCTTTCTTTTCACGGTCTAAAACCCTTTTGACGGTCCACCGGGACACTCCCACGGCGATTGAAATGTCTTTTTGCGACAGTTGCGCGTGGGACACATCACGAATACGCTGCCACTTCGTCATGGTGCGGCTGTCACACTAAGTAAATAATTTTCTTTTATACACAGCCTACTACGGTATGAGCTATAAGGTTACGTGCATGCAAAGAAAACCAAGGCATTGTATGCACAGGTGAAACGAGAATCTTATTTGTACGATGGTGCAAACATTATCACGCATACGGTATGGTTGGAAATTTCCAAAGTAAGATATTGTCTATTAAAGCCAACAAACCAGTTTTAATACTTTCAATTGATAGAGGATTCTGGGGTACATCAGGCTCTAAACATGTATTTATTTGTCCATACTCAGTATGAAAACAAGCCCATTTGATGCTTGGATTCCTTTTTACTTCAAGAAAACCTAAATCTCGTGTTAGCATTTCAGCGGCAGAAACTGTTCAGTCATCAGAAATCTTTCAAATAATGTGAATTGTTTTGATATGAGAAACCGGGGAAAAATACGCTCAAAACATACAGTTGAATCAGTTTTGTCGTTTAGACTTAATATTGTAATCCACTTGCTGAGTGTTTTGTGCATCTCATATTTTATTTTTCAATATTGGCTTTAAACTCGGAAAACTTTTATATTTATTACAAAATCTGGTTAATTTGACCCCATTATCTCCTATAAATGTTTGCAATACCTTTTCAAAAGCGCAAACTGACCACCAGAAGACATATTGGCTACTTCTGATAAAAGGTCCTGACTATTTGAATCAGTGAAGTATCATAATGGAAAAAAAAAACACAACAGAAAAAATTTGATTTTGGGGCAAAATAGGCCCTAAACATGCACTTATCACAGCGTGCGCCAATTGAAAATATGCAGAATAAAATTCTTGACATTTTCCCCAAAGGATAAAATGTTACATGTGTGGTTTCAGTGGCAGACAATGTCAAGCCTTTTTGTTGCCAACATTTTAAGTTTTATGAAATACTACAAAGCAACTGTAGAACAACATTTATAAAACTTAGGTCAAGGCTATTTTGTCATTAATGTATCCACCAAAACCTCTTTAAATCTAGAATATGTCTAGCTGGCCCACTCTGGAGAAGGTTCTGAAGCGTGTATTCTTGAAGCTCTTCAAGATTGATTTACTGCAAAAGGCTGTATGTCGAACGCATTGAGAACCATTTGAAAGCTACAACAAAAGCTTGTTAGCAACAATAAAAACCCTTTGCGTGCCATTTCCCCTAGCCACTTGCTAAATCCACTAGGAAAGCATCAATCAAGATAGAAAAGGATTTATGAATCCGATCTTTTCAAAAAAAATTAAAATAGAAACTGATGGTATAAAAATCTTGTTGAATATCCAAATTTATTACAATAGTTCTCATTAAGTGGCCTAGTTTTAAGTGCCTTTTCAATTTTATGTGAAATGTCCGTGAAAACATCGAAAAAAAAAGTCCGCTCTCGTAAAGCATCGATTTGATTAGTTTTTATGATTTTCGCATTTCAATGTTTACTCATTGCTAAATTTACCAAAATATAGTTATAAATATCCAAGGAATTTTAGTTTGAAAATCGAAGATTGTAAAAAAACAAGCAAACTAATTGCAACATGGCTGTGGCATCAACGTTGATTTTCATGGGCCATTTGTGAAAAAGTTGTTTTGCTTTCAAGAAATCCCTACCAAATTCAAAAGGTTTTAAAAAGGCTTTTATGAAGAAAACTTGCAGGCTGATTTGTATTTATCTAAAGGCATTTTGCTTGATCCTAACTCGTTCAGATTTATGGCAGCATTTATGGAGGCAAAGTTGCCTGCAAAAAGTTAAACGTCAAAGTTTGTTTACCTTTCCAGGGTTCGTTAAGGAGGTTTTCTCCCGATGGATTGAGAGCAGTTACTCAGATAGCTGGAAGCGCAATCGTTCCCGAAAAAGATCCCCTTCTTTGGGATGGTTACAGAATTGCACCATCCAACGATGGAGGGATGTACGCTTGAATGAAATTTTCGAAGAGTTGATTCTTTCGCCGAATAAAATTGCTGCTATGGATCGGAAACCAGCTAATCTCCGCTAACTAACAGTTTCAGTGGTAAGCTGTCGGTTGTTATTTCGATTGTCATCTATACGCAAGATCTGGAGAAGGCTGGTATGTTTTTTAAACTTTCGACAATGTTGTATGAATTCGAGGGGCCCGCTCAGTTTGCTCTTCTCCACCAGATAGTCAGTCGTTGATGGTGTGCTGGTTCTTCTAAAGAAGTAAATTTGGTTGAAATCGACTTGAATTTTTCATCCAACTTCGTCTATCCTTCGAGATTTCCATGTCATAAATTTGGCTTTTATTAACTATGAGAAACCATCTTTTAAGCTCAATTTATAAGCAGAGTAATTGGGGAGTTTATGATGCCCTTTTAAAAGCCTTAAAAGCAACAATAAATGTTTTTTGCTCTTATGCAAAACCTAATGGTTCTATGGTTGCTTTTATAATGATAGAACACGTTTAAAAAGTATTTTATCAAGACATTAATAAACAATTGCTAATGACGTTTCTGCTTGAATTACAAAGCAGTTTTAAGGAGGGATTGATACCTGTTTTAAAATTAATTTTAAAACAAGACTTGGTTTGACTTTCAACTCGTTGCGCCGCACCACACATTCAACTGCAGCGATGGTACGTACCTTAAAATGTTAATACATTGTCCGCTCTGACGTACTCCACTATCGGTGAGTCACTGTGAAAAAACGCCAGGCAGACAGACAGACAGACAGGCACAGAACAAAAGAAAGGCCGTAATCGAATAAAAAGTTGTTAATAAAATTCGATATAATTCCTACTTATTGCTAGTGAAAATTAATTAAAATTTGCTTATCCTATTTAAATTAGTGAATATAATGCATTTAGTAATAAAAGTGAACTAGAACTAATAGTACGGTGAAATAGTACGGTCGTAAGCGTAGGTTAGTTTATGCAGTGATGATGCAGAAAATGAATTTATAAAACTAAACTAAACCTAGAATCACTTATTATATAGCTGCTACTCGGGAATCTACGGGACTTTCACGCAAATTTAAAACAGACACAAAGCAAATTGAAAGCAGGTAAAATTTCATAATTGTAACCTAAATTTGTTGAAAAATTTGTTATTCATAACCTAACCTAGGAATCTAATTTACAGTGATCCCATCACCGATCGAACAACTAAACACAAAAAGGGACACTAAACGTAAGTCTCTTTATACACAAACCAGTAAACTTACCTAATTATCGTCTAAGAATAATCTAAAATTACTATGTACAACAGAAACAAAAACTTATACTACTGTACATTTAAATTTTCATTCGTTAGGAATTTTTTAACGTTATCACTAGAAATACAACGTTCAGAAAATCGGAAAAATTGTCTCCTTCGTTGCAATCGCAACATTCTTAAAAAATTCGTTTAATTGCGATCGGGGAAGCTGTTTGATATATGCCGAGAGTGCATCGGAGAAAAGGTCCCAAGCCGGGTGTGAGTTGTGTAGTGTGTGAAGATGCGGACAATAGCCGGATGGTCTGCTGTGACGACTGTGGTCTGTGGTACCACTTCAAGTGCGTGGGTGTTGATGAAGGAATCGTGGAGAAGGATTGGAGCTGTTCAGCATGTGAAGCTAAAAGTGCAGTCCAGAACCCATCGATCATCATCACGGAACCTGTATCGAGTGGAGAGGATCAAACGTCGGAGAGCAAACAAAAGCAGAGCGATCAACTCAAGGAGTTCCAAAAAAGAATGGATCAGATGCGGGCTAGGTTCGATAATCAGCAGCAGGCGTACGAGAAATTACTTCAAGAAAAGGATCGCGAGATGCAGCATACGATTGAAGATTTGCAGTACCAATTCCAGTATCGTTTGGAGAAAAGGGAACAGCAAATTCGAGATGAGTTGAATGTTCCTGTACCGAATGCAAATTCAACCGGTGTTCCTGTACCGAATGCAAATTCAACAACGCTGGGAGGTGAACATCTTGCAGCTGGTGACATGTGCAAAGCGTTCGAGCGGATGGAAAGGCAGCTTGAAGAGATGGCAAGAAAGCAGGAAATCGAAACGAAGCGGCTTGCAGAACGTTTGAGGGTGATGGAAACCAGCGTAAGAGAACCGGTCCGAACAAGGAATGATGACTTTAACGAGACTCATGAACTCAGCAGGAGTCAACTCGCCGCGCGGCACGCAGTGGCTAAGGAACTACCCACTTTCTCGGGCCACCCGGAAGAGTGGCCTTTATTCATCGCCACTTATGAGAGTACCACCAGAATGTGCGGTTTCAGTGAGGAGGAAAACCTACTTCGCCTCCAGCGTAGCTTGAGGGGGAAAGCTCTTGAAGCAGTGCGGAGTCGTTTGTTGTATCCAGCAGGGCTCGAAGGCGTTATCAACACGCTACGTACGTTGTTTGGCCGGCCAGAAGTAATCGTCCACTCGCTAGTCTGCAAGATTCGGGAAATGCCAGCACCGAAGACGGAGAAGTTAGGAACTCTGATCGATTTTGGTGTTGCAGTCCAGAATATGTGCGCGACGATCGTAGCCTGTGGATTGAACGAGCATCTATGTAACGTGGCACTCCTGCAAGAACTTGTTGAGAGACTGCCACCAACTGTGAAGCTCGACTGGGCAAGGCATCGTCAAACACTGACAGCGGTCACATTATCGGACTTCAGTACATGGTTGGGTACGCTCGTGGAAGCAGCATGCGTTGTAACGGTTCCGTCGACGATCGGCACGTACATTGGTAAACCTGAGAAGCGTGGTCGAAAGGTGCATGTCGAGTCAAGCCATAGTTCAGCATCTAGCTACAGTCCAGCATCATCAAGCTCAGTGGATCTTCAGAGGGCTACTCCAAAGCCAGTCAACAAGCAGTTCATTATCTGCCAGGGAAGATGCAGCAGTGTAGGATCGTGTAAGAAGTTTCAAGAACTGGACGTCGGAGCACGATGGGAAGCGCTGAAGCAGAACAAATTGTGCCGGAAGTGTTTGACGAAGCATTTCGGAGCGTGTGTGGTAAAGCAAGCTTGCGGAAGGAATGGTTGTGCATACATGCATAATCGGCTGCTACACGATGATTCCAGATACCAGCGAACGGAGAATCCTCGAACGCTGATTCCACCGACCGGTGCAGAAACAACGACCGAAACCTGTAACACTCACGTCAGCAATATTAACAAGGTTCTCTTCCGATACGTTCCAGTGCTCCTTCACGGACGAGGAAAGTCTGTACGCGTATTTGCCTTTTTGGACGACGGTTCATCGGTGACGTTGATGGAACACAGTTTGCTTAGGGAACTGGATCTTGAAGGTGAATCGTATCCCTTGTGTCTAAGCTGGACAGCAGATCATCAACGCCAGGAAATGGACTCCGTGATGCTTGCGTTAGAGATTTCTGGAGTGCATGATGCGAATACGCACTGGATTCCAAAAGTTCACACCGTGGATGATTTAGCTCTACCGCGGCAAACACTTACGATGGAAGAATTAGCGCGGAACTATCACCATTTGGAAGGCCTGCCGGTTGATGCCTATCGTAACGTCCGACCGCGGATGCTCATTGGAATGGATAACTACCGCTTGGGTCATGCGCTGGACAGCAGGGAAGGACGTAAGGAGGAATCGATCGCTACAAGAACACGCTTGGGCTGGATAGTGTTCGGACCTTGCTCTTTAGGATCCCAACCAGCGACGAACTTCACAGCACATCACAGCTTCCACGTGTGCCCATGTTGCGAGCGGAGTGACGCAGAGCTCCATAATGCGGTTAAAGCTTACTTTTCTCTGGACAGTATTGGAGTAACGAGCCCTGTGAAACCACTTTTATCGAAAGACGATGAACGAGCGGAACAGTTGCTGAAGTCCATGACCCAATTGAAGGAAAGGCGGTATGAAACAGGGTTACTTTGGCGGTACGATGATGTTCGACTGCCGGATAGCAAGCCGATGGCGATGAGACGTCTGATTTGCTTAGAAAAGAGAATGCAACGTGACCCTAAACTAGCTGAAGCATTGAAGGAGAAAATACGGGATTACGAGCGAATCGGGTACATCGAGAAGCTGACGGATAACCAACTCGCCGAGAAATTCACACGCGTCTGGTACCTTCCAATATTTCCTGTGGTTAACCCAAATAAACCGGGGAAGATGCGTATTGTTTGGGACGCCGCCGCAAAGGTAGCGGGAGTATCGCTGAATTCATACCTGCTTACTGGACCGGATCTACTCACTTGTCTTGTATCCGTCCTACACCGTTTCCGGGAATACCGAATTGCCATTACGGGTGACATTCGAGAAATGTTCCTTCAGGTGTTGATGAACTGGCTCGATCAACAATGCCTAAGATTCCTATGGCGGAACGGAGAACGAAACCGTAGTCCAGATGTTTATGTGATGAAAGTAATGGCATTCGGAGCAACGTGTTCACCAAGCTGTGCGCAGTATGTAAAGAACCACAATGCGCAACGGTTCCAGGATCAGTTTCCAAGGGCAGCTGAAGCGATAGTGAAACAACATTACGTTGATGATATGCTCTCTAGTGTCGAGACGGAACAAGAGGCGATAAAGCTAGCGAAAGATGTCCGGTTTGTTCACGCACAGGCAGGGTTCGAAATACGGAATTGGTTGTCGAACTCAAGTCGAGTGCTGCGAGAACTAGAAGCAATGCCTGGAGAGAAAAGCCTTAGTATGCCGAGCGAGATGGGAACGGAAAAAGTCCTTGGCTTGTGGTGGTGCACTGCTACCGATACCTTTACCTTCAAATTATCGTCGAGGATTAACGCCGAGTTACTTCAGGGTCTCATCGTACCAACAAAAAGGCAGATCCTAAGTACACTGATGATGATCTACGACCCTCTAGGACTACTCGCGCACTTCCTAATGTTCCTGAAAATACTACTTCAGGAAATTTGGCGTAGCGGTGTTAATTGGGACGATCCTATCAAGAACGAGCAGTGGGAGAAATGGCAGACGTGGTTACGAGTTCTTCCGCAAGTGGAGACTGTCAGCGTGCCTAGATGTTACCGGATGAAGACGAGCACAGGCGAACGGAATGTGATTCAGCTCCATGTGTTCGTGGATGCATCTGAAAACGGGTTTGCTGCAGTTGCCTACCTGCTATTTGAAGAAGATGGCGTAGTGGAATGTGCGCTTGTCGGAGCGAAGACACGGGTAGCTCCATTGCGATTCGTGTCAATTCCCAGACTAGAACTTCAGGCAGCCGTAATCGGAGCCCGCTTGGCGAACGACATTCTAGAGTCACAAAAGCTGAAACCTACAGAACGTTTCTTTTGGTCAGATTCACGCGACGTTCTTTGCTGGCTGAACTCAGATCACCGCAAATATAGCCAATTCATAGCGGTGCGAATAAGCGAGATGTTGGAATTGACAGAACCAAAAGAATGGAACTGGATCCCATCAAAGCTGAATGTTGCTGACGATGCCACGAAATGGCAGAGGCTACCGGATCTTTCGCCTGCAAGTCGTTGGTACCGTGGTCCTGAATTCCTCTGGGGATTGAGAGAGCAATGGCCAGTTGCTATGTCGAGATTCGATAGCACCGCGGAAGAAAAGCGTCCGCATGTACTACACCACTCCGTCGAACGTGCGCTATTCAGGTGGGAAGACTTTTCCAGATGGAAACGTTTGCTGCGCCATGTGGCCTTCGTAAAGCGATATCCATCGAATCTACGCAAAAGACTATCGAAGGAGCCTATTGTCACCGGTCCGCTAACTCAAGAGGAGCTGAGAGTGGCGGAACTGTTGATTCTGAAGTCAGTGCAAAATGCTGAGTTCACCGCGGAAATAGCCCAGTTGATGAAACCAAATCCAGAGCCATGGAAGAACGCATTATCTAGAAATAGTCCACTGTATGGACTTAGTCCGTTTCTGGATGAAAGTGGACTGCTACGAATGAAGGGCCGCATAGACGCTTGCGAAAGTGTGGACGAGTGTACGAAGCGCCCGATATTGTTGCCAAAGCGTCATCCAGTTACAGACCTTGTTATAGCCAGTATTCACCAGCAGTTCTGTCACATGAACCACCAGACTACGCTCAACCAAATCAGACGTAGATTCTACGTACCTCAGCTACGATCGACATACAATCGTGTGCGATCACAATGTCAGCACTGCAAGAATCGCCAGGCAAAGCCAATAGCCCCAGAAATGGCCGCTCTACCCCCCACGCGTCTGAAAGCATTCTGTCGTCCCTTCTCCTATGTCGGTATCGACTATTTCGGTCCAATGTCCGTAGTCATCGGTCGGAGAACCGAAAAAAGATGGGGTGTATTGATCACCTGCCTCACTGTGCGAGCAATACATCTCGAGGTTGCCCACAGCCTCACAACAGATTCGTGCATCCTCGCCATCCGAAACTTCATCGCCAGGAGAGGTACCCCTCTGGAAATAGTTAGCGATCGCGGCACCAACTTCATCGGAGCCAGTCGAGAACTAAAGGAAACGCTGCAGCAAGTTAACCAGGACAAGCTGATGGAACATTTTGTTACCACTGACACCAAATGGTCATTCAATCCACCTGCTTCTCCACACTTCGGCGGAGCCTGGGAACGCCTCGTACAATCTGTCAAGAAGGCCCTGAAGCACCTCCAACTCACACGCACACCCACTGATGAGCTACTAAAGAACATGTTAGCCGAAATCGAACTAATCGTCAATTCTCGGCCGTTAACTGAATTACCGCTAGACGATGAGCTGTCTTCACCGCTTACCCCGAATCATTTCTTACTCGGGTCATCAGACGGTTCAAAGCCCCCGATCGCATTCGATGACTGTAACTACACGCTGAAGCACACCTGGAAGATGTCGCAGGTCTACGCAAACAGATTTTGGCGACGCTGGGTCACTGAATATCTGCCAACCCTCACGCGTAGGACGAAGTGGTATCATCGCGTCAAACCAGTCGGGGAGGGAGACATTGTCGTCGTCGTGGACGAAACGCTGCCGAGGAACTGCTGGCCGAAAGGTCGGGTGGTCCATGCAATCCGGTCCAAGGATGGACAGGTCCGTCGTGCTCTGGTGCAGACAGCGACTGGAGTTCTAGAGAGACCAGCCGTGAAAATCGCAGTGTTGGACGTCGGTGCAACCGTGAGTACGTCGGACCAATGACGTCGAAGTACTAAAGGTGGTGGTGGTGCGCCGCACCACACATCCAACTGCAGCGATGGTACGTACCTTAAAATGTTAATACATTGTCCGCTCTGACGTACTCCACTATCGGTGAGTCACTGTGAAAAAACGCCAGGCAGACAGACAGACAGACAGGCACAGAACAAAAGAAAGGCCGTAATCGAATAAAAAGTTGTTAATAAAATTCGATATAATTCCTACTTATTGCTAGTGAAAATTAATTAAAATTTGCTTATCCTATTTAAATTAGTGAATATAATGCATTTAGTAATAAAAGTGAACTAGAACTAATAGTACGGTGAAATAGTACGGTCGTAAGCGTAGGTTAGTTTATGCAGTGATGATGCAGAAAATGAATTTATAAAACTAAACTAAACCTAGAATCACTTATTATATAGCTGCTACTCGGGAATCTACGGGACTTTCACGCAAATTTAAAACAGACACAAAGCAAATTGAAAGCAGGTAAAATTTCATAATTGTAACCTAAATTTGTTGAAAAATTTGTTATTCATAACCTAACCTAGGAATCTAATTTACAGTGATCCCATCACCGATCGAACAACTAAACACAAAAAGGGACACTAAACGTAAGTCTCTTTATACACAAACCAGTAAACTTACCTAATTATCGTCTAAGAATAATCTAAAATTACTATGTACAACAGAAACAAAAACTTATACTACTGTACATTTAAATTTTCATTCGTTAGGAATTTTTTAACGTTATCACTAGAAATACAACGTTCAGAAAATCGGAAAAATTGTCTCCTTCGTTGCAATCGCAACACAGACTATAAAAGGTTTGTAAATCAGCAAAAAGCTGAATTACTAATGTTTTACACTTTGAAATGCTCTATTTATACTAAATGGATTGTTCATTGCCGTTATAAACCCATCATAAATCAGTTAGGATGCCAAATGGTTACTGAATTGTTACTTGGGACCACACCTGGACCCTACCATCGCATCATGGACCGGGGACCAACGCACAGTGGTTCCTGGCTGGCCAAAACCTCAAAAATGAAAGTTGATATTTTTTTATTTCAATATTTTTTTATCATTTTTACATGTTAAGAGTATCTTAAATCGAATGATTTGTGCAAATATGTTGATTAAATATTTTTTTATGGCTCTTATAGTGTAGCGATATCAAATTTTTTTGAAAAAAAATCGTAATGTTTCTTGTTACGGTTTTGCTCAAGTATAGCAAAACATAATGTGTTTATCAACTTGGTTGCTTCAGAAGAAATGTTCCTTTGCTTATTTCACGTCAAATGGATGGTAAAAAAGAGTGTCTTAGTGTTTTTAGTGACAGTTTCTAATATAAAAATTAGCAAAAATATACTTTTTTCGCATTTAGACTAGGAAAAACATATGACGGACACATCCGCCCACTATCATTTAGTAATCGAAAGATAGCTAGAAAAGTTAACTTTCAGATAGGCTCTAATGTGTTTTGCGATTTTTTGCGAAACATGTTGAAATTAGGCATAACAAGTAAAGTGTTGTTTGAAAATATCTGTTTCTAAGTTATATAATCTGCGGTGTATACAGTAGCAAGCTTCACAATGCCTTTTACAAGGCACACCAATACGCACACACATACACACACGCACCATATATCTATCTCTTATGGTTCATGAGTTATGATTTTTTTAAACAAGCAGGTTAGGGTGGCCCCTAGACAATCGGCATTCTTTATATATCTTTTTATAGGTTCATTTCTCGTAATGTTTAAACCGTATACTTTAAGAACTTTTTATGACGCATATTTTTGCTAAGTTGTTATCTCTTTTATTTGAAAAGTAATGACTTGTTTTGTTGAAAAATATCACTTTTTTTAAATTAAATTAAATGCTTCAAACACAAAAAGCTCTTGCAGTTTTTTTTCACAAAAAAAACGATGTTTCCAATTAAGTTAAATGTTTGACAATCGGTTTGCTCCATTTAGAGATATTGACAATTGAAAAGAGTCATTTTTTCGAAGAAAATAGCCTTTAACTTTCTAAATAAAAAAGATAGTAACCTAGTTGCTTGAGCAAAAATATGTGTCCTCAAAAGTTCTAAATGTAATCAGAACAATGTTTTTACAAGAAATTAACACATGAAAAGATATTCAAAGAAAACCGATTTTAGTGACCACCCTAACCTGCTTGTTTAAAAAATCATAACTCATGAAGAGATAAAAACGTTGTGTCTTCTACAAAGTTGCTTTGAATTTAATGTTCTACAGCTGTTTAGAACACTGCTTTGGTCAATCTCAAATAATAAATAGTTTGTATTTTTAATTCACCAATTTTATGGACCACCCTAATTTTACGAACATAAAAAGATTGAAAAAAAAATATGAAGCAACTTTCCTTAAGAAACCATATACCTAAAACTGACAGTTTGGGCTCAAACGTTTTTGTCTTCCTAGGTAAATACGGCTGGGACCATTGTGCATTGGTTTTGGTTCTACTATACTCCTTTTTGTGACGTCTTGATTGTCAGGTTTTCTTCGTACAGCTAAAAAACATCTATTTCAACTGTTTTTTGCCTATTAGCAACAATTTTGAGGTTTTGGCCAACTTTTGTTCTAAGGGGAACCACTGTGCAACGGCTTTACAAAGGCGTAACCAGAGATTTTATGCCTCAGAAAATCCCAATGGTACCGACTGGGATTGAACCTAGGGCTTTTAGAGCGTTCCTTAAGAACTGACTGAAATACCAAGCAAATGGTGAACGAACTCCGTGAACATTATACTGAAAATTTTAAGCTTGTTTTGCTAACATTTCCAGAAACCACGTGGACAATTTTTTGTGATATGTGAACCTGATTAGAACCAAGAGTCACGATGTGCTATTTCAAATTTATATACTTGAAAGAAGTAGCACATCGCTTCATAGGTGGATACATTCAAGAAATTCAGTTTACTATTTCAATTCAGTACGCTATAAAACGAAACTCGAGTAACATTGTAGGTTTTATCGCGGTTTTATAGCATTCTACAAGTCTAAATCATGATCTACAGAACCCTCATAAAACCAAAATTGTTACTTGGGAAGGCATTCGAACACATTTTTAAGATACAACAATCCAGCAACCCCTCGTCGAGTCGTGCATTGCATATCCCCACGAAAGGATGGCCACCGAGTTGTGCGCTGATTTAAATCGCTGCGTTCCATTCGCGTATTTACATGAAATTATTATTTCCCATTTCATCTGCGACGACGAGTTACCGATCGGTACGATCCCTCTGGTGTGTGTATCCAGCATCCAGTATCTTTCGTGTCTCTGCTGGCTCCGGTTGCCAATCGAAACGACAACAGCAATCTGCCCAGAAAATATCGCCAAAACGAAACGACAACAAACGCGATAATGTTTTGATACTCCCTGGCGGTGGGGTTCCTTCGGGCCTTCCCCGGCTCTCTGTCGGTCCCCTCAAACCACTGGACCGTCCGGGTGCTGCAGTCTGCTGCATCTGGGGAGGAAAAGGACCGCAGTGGACGACATGGCTCTTGTGGAGTTAAACGATTTTCGAAACTTGTTGCGCTCGAATGTCCCCTTCTCGTCTTTGTGCAACTCTTGGGCCCGGGGACCCGGGGCAGCGGCGGAGACAAGCAGAATATTGTGTCATTTTTCGGAACTTGTTACCACTTGGGCAGGAATTATGATTTATGCTGGCCCAGGGCCTAATTTATTGGATAATTTCCACGCAGGGAATGTTAAATCATGGAGCATTTTGGGGGATTTGTCGCAGCATTCCGAGGCCAGCAACCTCTGGTGTCTAGACGGTGGATGTCACCATTAGTTAGGCACCGGCAACGACTGTTGGACGGTGATTTAGAAAAGGAAGAAAAAATTGGTATATTTTATGATCGGTTCGAGCGAACATGAATTTATTAGAGGATGATCGGTATTATGATTAACATGGGGTTTGTAATTTTGATATTATGATTTTACTGTATCAGCTAAAGATACCATAATCATAATTTAACACGACTGATACTCTCGTTTATAAAGGCAACCAACTGACAGCAATTTAACAGCACAATTCTTCATTGTTTCTTCCAAGGTCATCATAAAGATTCTCGATGATTTTTTTTCTTGAGCATCTCTACTACTACTATCGTTTTATCAATTCTAGAGGTGCATACTGAGGGCTGTCTACGCCGTTCTAAAATATGACGCTAGAGCCAAAATAGTCGATATTTTAAATAGCTATGGAAGACTCATATTCCCCCTGTCGAAAACATAGACAAAGTTTGATGTAAATTGGAAAGACTATTTTGCGTGAAATGTGATGAAAACGAAAACTGCTAGTGCAGCTCCATGGCCTTTAATGTGCAACACTATTAGTAACCGAACTGCCCATTATGCATAGGGCAAATGAAGTCATTCACTGAGTTCCATCTTCCCAGTTCCCACCAATCAATACAACATGGGACCTGTTTAGAAATCACATCTCGCCAAATGAGACCAACTTCCGAACTGGTGGGGCCCCATAAATTGTGATCATTAGCTAATGTAAAATAGCCAAATGAGAACGTACCATCAAAAGTAAATCGATGGAAATTAGCGCCACCATCGGGAAAGGGACGGAACGGAACGGGACGGGAAGCAAATAGCCACCTTCGCGAGCCTTCCGAATTCATGGTGGAGCCTTTCATTACCGGGGTCCTCACCAGATGATGATGCTGAATGTTCGTTCCCGCCCAGCAAATGATGGTCGCGTTAAGTCGTTGCGTTGCTGGGGCGCGAAATGTTTCTCATGGGGCTAACCCGAGCGAAAATCCCGAGCCTGTGTGCCTCATTATGGCCTCGACTGGGGGGGGGGGTTTGGAGGAAAGGAGAAGGGCGATCGCTCACAAAAGCCGAGTTCCGAAAATCCGCGTCATTATTAGCCGGGTCGTTAGAGGGTCGGGTCCCAATCCAAGCCAGGGCCAGGTTGCCACTCACTCTTCTCGTACGTGTCGAAGTTATAGAGCAAGCT